CTAGAAGAAACCATTGAAAACCTCAAACACGAGATAGAACACCGATGGCGAGGAGGCCGTGAAGAGATGAGAGATGTTTGTATCTCCACCGATGATGACAACCCTCCAAAGACCTACAGAAATGTGTACATCCAGACAGACAGAGAGACTTTCCTCAAACGCTGCGAAGGTGAAAGCAAGACAACCAGAAGTAACCAAATAATACCTAAAAAGCTAAATATCTCCTCGTTAAGCCAGCTCTCTCCCCCAAGTGACAGCAAAGACATCCATGCACCACTTCAGTCTTTGGAAGGCATCTCATCAAGTCAGCAGAAGGCATCGCCTCCCCCTCCTGCACCACTCCTGCCAGAAGCCATCCCTCCTCCTCCTCCTCCCCTCCCACCTGCACTTGGACCTTTGCCACCAGTCCCTCCTCCACCACCTCCGCCACCTCCTCTGCCTCCAAGTGCTGGCCCTCCCCCACCTCCTCCCCCACCACCACTTCCTAACTCACTCGCTCTGCCCAATAGTGGGGGGCCTCCTCCTGCTCCAACACCCCCAGGACTTGTGCCCCCACCTCCTCCTGGACTCTTCTTTGGAGTCAGCCCTTCTTCTAGCCAATGTCCTCGGAAGCCAGCCATTGAGCCCAGTTGTCCCATGAAGCCTCTGTACTGGACTAGAATACAAATAAGTGATAAGAGGTAAGCTCAACTCCCCTGGCCCATTAGCTTGCGAATTCTCAGAAGTTTGCACAAATGATGTTTTATTCTTACCAGTTTAATTCCTGCATAGCGTAGCACTCATTCTCAAATGTGGTCCAGTGAATGCCCTGGATAAATAAAGTTGGAGTGTTTTGGGGAGAATGTCTCCACCAGGTCTTATCTGTATTTTCTATTGATTGATGCTAGGAGAATTGATGTGTTCAGTGTCAGATCCTTCTTTAGATAAATGTTCCATTTTACAGAGTAGAAACAAGCCCAGGTCTAAGTTAGAGCCTTCTCCAACATCGCTACAATTAGCAAGTTATCAAAAAGACACTGAACCTGACTCTATACTATAGGTTCACTGAATATTTTTAGAATATTTGTCTTGTCGTTAGATGGTATCACTAACCTTATATCTGATTTCTAACAGGTATGTGTAATTTGTCATTAAAACAGACAAACAAACAAACAAACAAACAATAAAAACAACAGATATAGCTGAGTCATTAGTTCTTCAGGTCAGAGGGGAATCTTAAAATATAAGCTCTCTGCTTGAACTCTGGCTCCCCTAGCTGTTCAGTGGCCTCACATTTTATACCTTGTTGCCCATCAGAGAAAGTGCCAGTGTGTGGATAGCTCAAATACACCTTCCATTTGTACAGCTTGTTAAGCTAAGTGTGTAAGGCCCCAAGATACAGCTTTTGGAAACTTCCATTCAAACAAATTTGAATAGGATTTCTTCTGCATCATTTCAGAGCCTGTCAAGAGGACAATGAGAGATGTTGTGTTGCTTCTTGACTACTCTCTAGGCTTGAAGTTGATTTGCTTGCAGGGAACAAAAAATATAGAACACATTTTTTAAGTTAAGTTTTTTGAACTTCTTTACAAATCAAGATGTGGTGGTGAATTTTTCAATTTATATAACATTTTGCTTGGGGAAGGCAGGATATTGAATAAAATAACATGCAATTCACAAGTATAAAGCAACTATAAATCACTATAGGAGAAGGGGGGGGGATACCTTAAAACTAAGCATATGGTGAACTAAATTGATTATTTACTTCATATTTGGCCCATTTCCTCTCTCCAAAAAATAGAGCCAAGAGTTTATGTGGGGAAAATCCTGATTTTTAATGCTGATACTTTATAACTTCCCAAATGAACAATTAAAAAAAAAACAAACTATGAGATGATCCTGAAATAGCTCCTACCATTAGCTAAAGCACTAGTGTTCCCCTTTTCCCATTTAAGACTCAGATGACATTTCCTAAGAAATAGTTTCCCAGAATATTTATGTGGAGTTGTGTTTCCTTATTAGTGTCCTCAAATTACTGTGCAGCCCTTCCAGGGTGATGACTTTCACCTGTCAGCTCTGGAGTAATGTGTTATGACAGCAGACGGAACTGTCCACACCTGGGTCTCACTAGCCTGCCTTCACTTCATTTCCCACAAGGCTTCATAAGCGGCCAACACCACAGACCATAGCCGCAGAGTAACAGGGCCTCTGGGAGATAGGGGCCCTTCGCCATCTTTGTTCCGAGGTGGGACAAAGCCAAGCTGGAGATAAACCTTGTCTGTGTTTTTTGTTGTTTTTATTTTTTTTAAAGATTTTATTGGGGAAGTTGGGAGNTGAGGTGGCTGATGAAATACACAGCTAGACCAGTCCACAGGATCGTTGGAATTACAGTTTGAAGGTACCAATTTGGAAGTTACAGAATATAGTGAGTGTCGTTTCATAGGAGTACACAGGTAATCCAGAGAGATTGTGTAGCTGACCCACAGAAGGCAAAAAATGGCAAGGAGGATGGCTGGCGAACAATGTTTAAGGGATGAATGGGAGCAGACGAGTCCACAGATCGACTGGAGAGAGGCGAGAAGAGGGAGGAAAATGGGCATGGGCAGAGAGGGTATACCAGAAGCTCAGACAAGCACAGAGAATTTCAAGGCATGGCCAACAGTCGACTTTAACGATGCAGCTGAGAGGACGAAATGTCTGAAGAGTGTCAACCAAATGTAACATTCAAGTCATGCATTTTCAATAAAACAGTGGGGACAGAAGCCAATTAATTGGTTGAAAGTGAGATGGATGAGAAAATAGATAAAGCAAGAGTTCCGTGCTTTTTTCCCAAAAAACCTCTGCTGTGCAGTAAAGAGGTAGGGTGAGAAAGGGAGGGTGACAGTAGGGATTACTAGTAGGGATTAAAGAAGGATTCAGATATCTTTATTTTTGCTTCAGATGGGTACAACACGGTACTGGAGAGCATGCTGAGTCGAAAGCAAATTGACATGGCCAATGACCTCTGTGATCTGTCAGGCAGCAAAGAGACCGTAGTAATGATAACAAGCTTATATAGCACCTCCTGTGCTCCAAACACCCCTCTATATGTTAACATATACGTCAATATACGTTAACATATATTAACTCTTCTGCTTCTCATCACTGCCTTCTCAGGTGGACTCTGTTATCATCCCCATTTTACTTACAAGAACACTGAGGTACAGAGAGGTTAATTAACCTTCCCAATTTGTGCTCTGCCCACTACTCTAAGCAAATGCATTAGCGAGCCACCAAAATGGTATCTAGGCATACATGTCAGCGTCAGCCGATTCAGAAGATGCGTGGCTGAGAGATGGAAAGCGGGACAGGTGAGGACCAGGGCCTTTGCTGTACATACGGGCCAGTTGTGTAGCAAACGGAAAGTTTCTCCATGGAAAAAAGTCTTTGCAACTTTTTCATATTATTAAGAAGTTGAAGATTGAGTAAAATGATTGGCTCATGAATATTATTTGACTCTTAATCTTCTTGGAGAAAGGTTAGTTGGGAACAACAACCACAGTTAGTTTGCTGTGGCAGAACTGAACTAGTCACTAAAATGAAATTGAAATGTTAGTGAGTAATTCAAGGTGGGAATCAGAGCCGAGTATGGGTGGAGGAGGGCAGGGGAGGGAGATGGAGGTGGAGATGGGGGTAGGACATTGAAACAAAGATTATCTTGATCACATAGTTGAATGAAGTTTGAAATTACTTTCAGGCATTTGGTAGTAGAGCTCATGAAAGATTGGGTAAACGTTTGTATTTGTAGTACATTGTTTATCCTGACTGCTGCTTTTCCTAGTTTTGTGGCCATCGTTCCACAAAGGTGGCATTACTTGGAAATTTAAGGAAGATTAGAGATCTGCTGGTCTGTTACTGTATTAGTATCATGAGCAACAGTAATTAACAATGACATTTATTCAGAGCGTACTACATTTCAGGCATCATGCCTGCTGCTTTATAGGAAATCTCATTTTATCTTTATAAAAACCCTTGAGATGGTCTTTACACTTGAGGAAACTCGGGCTTGAAAATACAAAGCTCCCTGTCCAAGGTCATAAAGCTAGCAAGTGGCTAAGCCGAGATGTGAACCAAGTAGTATGAATCCAGAAAGCAGACGCTGAACCCTCTGGGCTACATGAGAAATAGATGGTGCCTTGAACTCCCCAATTCTTTTCCGAGTTAGGTTGGGGCTGCCATGTCCACATATAAGATCAGCTTTAAAAAAACATTGTCTCTGGTTCTATCTGTGGGTTGGGTTTGGAGGGAAAAGGTGAACCTAGGAAAACTACAGTTAAAAGTGTCTTAATGGAAGTACAGCATCTTGCCATGTCTTCTTTTCGTTCCCTGTCTAGGCGTTAAAAATATTTCTTTACTTTTTCAGTGCAAAATGGATCTGCACTTTTATACACTTTGGTGTTCATTCTAGATATTTGTGGACTGAAATCATATAGGGAATAAAATTTTGTTAGCCAGAAGGAGGGCTCTTGGGACAGTGACTGAATATAACTACTGCAGTGGTTTTTATCCATCCGTCTCTTCTGTACTGTGTACCAGCTGAGCTGCCTGCTGAGATACAGAAAATAAGGCAGGTGCTGTCCCTGATTTCATCATGCTGGGAAACGGACTTCTTAGTGACTGGGAGTATGCTGGCTCTGTACTAATAAGAGTAAAATCATAGACTTGAGGAATTGAAATGACTGAAAAGATAAGTATTAAAAAGACCAGTGTAATAAAATATCATTTAAAATGTTGGGTTGGGCCGACTGAGTGGCTCAGTTGGTTAAGAGCTCACTCAAGAGTGCAAGCTCTGAGCAACAGGGTTGCCGGTTTGATTCCCGGCCCAAGCTAAGCTGCCCCTGAGCTGCCAACAGGTGGCAGAATGGCTCAGCTAAATAAATAAATAAATAAATAAATAAATAAATAAATAAATAAATAAATAAATAAATAAATAAATTGCTGGGTTTGTAGAAGAGAAAAATAGCAAATCTTAATATTCTCATTTTCTATGCATTTATATTGCTTATTTATTATATTGTGAATGATTATGAAACAGACAAAAATGCTTATCGGCAGCTTTGATATGGAAACTTAAAAAATACCTGTGCTTCATAGCTTCTACTTGTACCTTTTGTTTCTGCTGTGTTGGCCTGGAAACCCCACAGAGGAGGCATTCTGAGAAGACTGTGAGAACAGCAGCTCCAAGTCAGAAGGATCTCCAAATCTAATTTTTTCTTAAAATTTTGTTTTTCCAAACCAAATCCAAAAGTAATGAAAGATATACTCAAGCATATTCAAACCTTTATTAAAAGTTTTGTCTTGTGTTTGATATTAAAACCGGGTGAAAGTTCTTGGATGACCATTTTACTTTAAGCCTTAATCCATGATAATTATTCCCCATGAGCTCGTATTGAATGAAATTCTGCTTCTACTCCAACTGTTTAGGTCCTTGGAAAATTCATCAAGTGAAATTTACACCTTGTTGGATTCCCAAAAGAACGTCTCTGTACTTCCCTGCGATTATGTGGGCTGTGCTGTGGTGGCATGGGGATGGTATCGAATCTTTTCTTTCTGATATTTGTTTTCTATAAACTCTTTACTTTCTTTCCCACCCTGCAGGCTCAGTTTGAACTTCAGGCCTTTCACATCCGGGGTGAGCATGCAGTGACAACAGCAAGACTAG